AACATCCTCTACAATACAGGAGGGGTGAGGGTGGGAGGAACTTGAGTAGTTCCATTTGGAACCTGAGATGCTTGTGAGTCATCTAGATGCAGATGTCCGTAGGCAGTTGGGTATGAGATTAGGGGAGTGGCCAGGGTTAGAGAGCCTTAATGTTAAAAATATAGATAATATTCTATCATGTATTACAATGGCAATAAACAATTGATTATACATTTACCCATGTTTCCATGTTGTTGTTATTAGGTGCTGTTGAGTTGGCTCTGACTCATAGCAACCCCATGTACAACAGAACAAAATGTTGCCTGGTCCCGCACCATCCTCACAATCTATATTTGAGCCCATTGTTGCAGTCACTGTGTCAGTCCATCTCGTTGAGGGTATTCCTTTTTCACTGATCCGCTGTTTTACCAAGCATGATGTCCTTCTCCAAGGATTGGAGCTTAATAAATATTCGTTGTTTTTAGGTGCTTTCGAGTCAGTTCCGATTCATAGCGACCCTATAGGACAGAGTAGAGCTGTCCCATAGGGTTTCCAAGGACCAGCTGGTGGATTTGAACTGCCGACCTTTTGGTTAGCAGCTGGCTTTTAACCACTACACCACCAGGGCTCCAAATATATATTAAATAATATATAATAAGTATTTGGTAAGTGAATAATGAGTTCTTGTGTGAGATTTCTAAGGATGCCTGATCCTGTGTATGTAGCTTTCCAAGAATATACTTTCCAAGAATCCATCAAGTGTATGCCTATTTTTGCTACCCTCTCTTCTTTAATATTGACATAAATGGTCATCATATTTTGTGGTGTTAAGGACAGCCTCAGAGACAGTAAAGAAAATTCCAGGGAGCTCCCATAAAAAGTACAACATAGAGAGCTCTATCTATAACAACAAAAGGCTACAAAACTCCCTTAACTAAACTTTTCCCTATGGAACTAGTTAGTTAAAGATGTCTGTAAATACCACAGAAAGTTAGATCTTAACTTTGTAATCAGAGTTAAATTATTGCATCAGGACTACCATTTGTATGCATGCTGGGGGAAGTGGGCCCGGCTCCTGATTTTGAAGGAGCTCTGGTGGCACAGTGGTTAAGAGCTTGGCTGCTAACCAAAAGGTTGGCAGTTCAAATCCACTAGCCGCTCCCTGGAAACCCTACAGGGCAGTTCTACTCTGTCCTAAAGGGTCGCTATGAGTCGGAATCGACTCGACAGCAACGGGTTTGCTTTTTTTTTTTTTTTGAAGCCTCATGAGGAACCCTGGTGGCACAGAGGTTAAGCACTCAGCTGCTAACTGAAAGGTCGGCAGTTGGAACCCACCAGCTGCTCTGCAGGAGAAAGAGGTGGCAGTCTGCTTCCGTAGACTTCAGCTTTGGAAACCCCATGGGGCAGTTCTACTCTGTTTTACAGGGTCTTTATGAGTCAGAATCGACATGATGGCAGTGGGTTTGGTTTGGGGTTTTAAAGCCTCATGAATGCCCAAACTATCCCTTTTTCACTGCCCTGGACATACCTACCCCAAGCCCCGACACCTTGAATTTTTCCTGCCTACTTCCCTTAGCATCACTTCTCTCCACCGGAACAGCTAATCTCTCGTGGCTAGAAGCTCCATAAGGGCAGGGATCATGTTTTGCTCATTATCATATTCTCAGTGCCAACACATAGTAGGAGGTTCTCAGTAAATGTTCAGATAATCTAGTGACTGTCTCGATCCTAAATTTTTATTTCAAAAGGGTAAAGGAAATCAAGCCTGTGTCTGAGGTAGCCAAAAATGGAATAAACTTACTTGCTGTTCTATTGTTTACAAGTTTATTTTTATTAAGGCCATGAAACTATGATTTATGAGGAAGTAGTCCCCCTGCCCCTGACCCCAAGAAAGATAGCAAAAGATGCACTAGAGAAAGGTGGCACTGTTGGAAAAGGAAGTCAATTCAAGATGGAGTTAAAAAAAATGCTTAGCAGAAGGGAGGGGCCTCCTGCAGTCTCACCAGTTCCTCTCGTTTGGGGACTTTCTCCAGCTACACCTGGCAGCTTAGGTGCAGGAGGCTCCCACACCATCCTCAGCCAGTACAATCCCTCACATGGTGCTCTAATTACTTCTATTTGTCTCTTGCTACCACTGGACCATGATTTCCTCAAAGACAAGGACTTGTTTGACTCCTTGACCCCCAAGGCCTGGCAGACAGTGATTAATAAATGTTCACTAAATGAATGCATACACAAGTGGAAGAAGTTTACGTGGGGTAGGGAAGTGTGGTTTACCCGGAGTTGGACTGGCAAGGCGAGAACAAAAAAGGGAGGTGCTGACATGAAAACAGCCTTGAAATGGCTGGTGACAGGGTCCAGGCTTGGTAAGGAGACAAGCCATGCCAACTCATGACTAATGGTTCAGGAGTGTCCCTCCTTCTAAGACCATGTCCTCTAACCTCCACCTTGGCTTCCATTTTTACATGCCTTCTGAGGAAACCTACACTACACTGTTGGTTATCACTTTCCTTGGGTATTCATCCTCTCTCTACTAGAGCTTTCCTTTTGGCTTCTAAACACGTTCTAGTATTTCTCATATTTAAAATAATCCTTCATCAACACCATTTACCTTGTCTCCATTTTTTCACTTCCAAACATCTTTACAGTTGTCTATACTGTTTCCATTTCCTCATCTCCCACCTAGTCTTCGACCTAGTCTGGCTTCTGTTCTCCATCATTCCAGGTCATCAATGATTTTAAGTCACTGAATCCAATGGACTTGTTTTCAGACATCATACCTGATCTCTCAGCAGCATCCAACTCTGGTCACTCCCTCTCCTTCTTGAAACACTCTTTTCTCTTGGATTAAGTAACACCAGAGACTTCCGGTTTTTCTCTCACTCTCTGGATATGCCTTCTGTCTTTGTAGATTAACTGCCTTACCTGCATAGTAACGTTAGTGCTCTTCAAGGCTAGGCCCTAGGTCTGCTTCTTTTCTTCACTCTCTCCCTCTAAGTGACTAAATCCAGGCCCATGGCTTCAGTGGACCATGTAAAAATAGATGGATTCCAAATCTGTATCTCCAGTCCAAATCTCTTCTCTGAGCTCCAACATCTATTTATCCAACAGCCTCCATCTCAATTTCCCACCCACCTCCCTTTCATCCCTCATGGTAGCATGGTTTCTGTCCACCACTTTACTAGTGACCTCAATACTGTCCAATCCAATTAACACTTCACATTTTTTATCTTCCTTAACCTCTATGGCACAGGACACTGTTGACCATTCCTTCTAGAAATTTCCCCTTCCCTCATTTTAGTACTGTTTCCTAGTTGAAGACCATTCTCTTTCAATCATCTTTAATGGTTCTTCTTCTACCTGCCTCTTGGTATACTGGTTTCAGGAAGCCAAGGAAAACATAAAGCAGTGACTTATTAAGTAAGAGCAAACTAATGCCATGTTAGAAGGAGCTAGCAGGATGAAAATTAAGCAGCAACTCAAGATGTTCTCCAAACATTTTGGTTCTTATGGAACAAGAGTAATAAACCATGATTTGATCCTCTCCTTGGTAGGTGCAGTGGTTAAGAACTCGGCAGTTCACTGTTCACAATATCAAAAAGATGGAAACAACCTAGGTGCCCATCAACGGATGAATGGATAAACAAATTATGGTATATCCACACAATGGACTACTACACAATGAAAAAGAACAACGATTAAGCCGTGAAATACCTTATAACATGGAGGAAGCTGGAATTTATCATGCTGAGTGAATTTAGCAGTCACATAAGGACAAATACTGTATAAGACCACTATTATAAGAACTCAAGAAAATGTTTAAACACAGAAGAAAACATTCTTTGATGGTTACGAGGGTGGGGAGGGAGGGTGAGGGTTATTTACTAACAAGATAGTAGATAAGAATTATCTTAGGCAAAGGGAAGAACAGCACACACTACAGGGGAAGTCAGCATAACTGGACTAAACCAAAGCTAAGAAGTTTCCTGAATACAATCAAACACTTTGAGAGACAGAATAGCTGGGGTAGGGGACTGGGGACCATGCTTTCAGGGGACATCTAGGTCAACTGGCATAACAAAGCTTATTAAGAAAATGTTCTGCATCCTACTTTGCTGAGTGGCGTCTGGGGTCTTAAAAACTTGCAAGTGGCCATCTAAGATGCATCAGTTGGTCCCAATCACCTGGAGTAAAGGTGAATGAAGAACACCAAAGACACAAGGAAAGTGGTGCCCGGCTACCACCAATGACCGCCCTGACAGGGAACACAACAGAGTCAATGCCGGAGCAGCAGAAAGGTGGGGTGCAGAACACAAATTCTAATAAGAAGACTAGACTTAATGGTCTGACTGAGACTGGAGGTACCCCAGAAAGCATGGCCCCTGGATTCTCTATCAGCCCAGAACTAAAATAATTTCTGAGGCCAACTCTTCAGACAGGGATTGGACTGGACTGTGGGACATAAAGTGATACTCGTGAGGCGTGTGCCTCTTAGTTCAAGCAGATACAAGACACCAAAGGGGCAGCTTCTGTCCGGAGGTGAGATGGGAAGGCAGAGAGGGTTAGGAGCTGGTTGAATGGACATGGGGAATCAAGGGTGGAAAGGAGGAGTGTGCTGTTGGAGTATGGGTTGAGCAATTAGGGCCACATAATGATGTACGTATAATTTTTGTATGGGAGACTAACTTGAAATGTAAACTACATTTAAACTACAACAATTAAAAAAAAAAAAAAGAACTTGGCTGCTAACCAAAATGTCGGCAGTTCAAATCCACCAGCCGCTCCTTGGAAACTCGATGCGGCTCCTTGGAAACTCTGTCCTATAGGGTCACTATGAGTCAGAATTGACTCGATGGCAACGGCTTTGGTTTTTTTAGTGGGCAAAATAAAGGCAAACACTAATATCATTTACTTCCTTTCAAAATTCCTAAGAAGTTAATTCAGTGTCAGAAGTTTAATTTCTCAAAACTCATAGCTATTTAGTAAAGCTAATGAACACACTTAACTTCATATTTGAGTGCTATTTGATATTTATTGACACCAATACAAAACAAGCTAAGACTAAAAGTTGCTATTTAACAGGAACAAATATTGGTGACGGTTCCTTCTTGCAGAGGGTATGCACTCAGATCATGAGACCTAAGATAAAACAAAGACTGGATTGTCAAGAATCAAACAAGGGCTAGATTTTACCTATTAATATTAAAAACTGCTAAAGGAAAACTGAGATGTTTAAAAATATTCTTTATGCTGAGCTCACATAAACAATCAAAACACTCAAACTAATTCTAACATTTTAGGACATAGGATATAGATACAACATGACTATTTAAATTTATGCATCAGGAAAAATCTGTTACATCCGTCACCATACTTGTACTATAATTACATGCTTGTTGCTTCCACACTATACAAATTCAGCAGTTATCGCCAACAACACAACATAACTAAATCTGAACAAGACTTCAAACTGACTCTGCTCCACTCAAATTAAGAAAGTTCAACTCAGGACTAACAGAACCTTTTGATTTGAGATCAGGTTCTCTTATTTGCTCGTGTCATACACAATTAAGTCCTCACTTGACATTTCTAACCTGCAAACTGCAATGCATGTCACCTCCCTCATCTTTTCTGACACTATAAAATGAATTTTTAGAAACGGCATAAACAATGAAATTGTACTTCAGTTCTGAACCTGCAATCTGATTCTTGCTTTGACGCAAAACATACTCCTCTTCAGTGTACCCCACCAGCACTGCGACTCCCTTTCTCTCTATTCCTTTGCCCTGAAGGCACTTCTGGATTGCTTAATTCGTGCTCTTTGGCTGCCTAGACAGTCAGGACACCTAAGGCCATGTGGATTTATCACTCCTCTCCCCCTTCTTTTCTATGGCTAATAGCACTTTCCTGCTTTTTTTCTATTGCTGGATCTGCAGACTTGGTGCTGTCATCAGGGGGACAGAGTCGATTTCGGCTTCGAGCTCCTGGTTGGTAAAGCTGCATCGCTGGACGATCCTAAAGTGAAATGAAATGTGTTAATGTTACAACATTGCTACTAAGCTTTTACGTAGGCTTTTCGGAATATTGTATTTGTATTAATATATACCAAAAACAACTCATCCAAGATCAAAAATGTGAGAGCATGGCACGACAGTAAGTGTTGATGGTTAATTTGCTTTCAACGGCCTTTCCTGTATATCCAAAGAAAAGCAATCATTTCATAAGTATTACTTGATATGCTTAAATTTTTGAGAAATCTATTATCTACTTTTCTTAACCATCTCAAAATGAACTGAATCAGCTTGAAATTTTTTAACTCAGAAACCACGACCATTGACTATCTCTCCTCCCGATCAGTAAACTGACTTTAAAATGCACCACCACATACAAAAATTTTTAGGAGTAAGAACAGTAACAAAGAATGCGAACTCTTAAGTGCAGACCTTCCTAAAGTTATGAGTTCAGACTCCATGTAATTGGTCACAAAAACATGATTTGTATTCAGATATAACAATGTGACACCCAGTTTGAGGCTCTCTAGGTGGCACTTTAGACCCCAGATTCATAAATAAGCTTCAATGAAGTAATCATACATCACTCAGTTCAAGTAATACATTTGGTTTATGACAATATGATCCTGGGAAACCGAACTGTATAGGCCATTTTTAGAATTCAATAAAAAAAGTGCATGAACCTTCCTTAACCCCTCTCTCTCTGATTTATGAAAGTTAGCCTTAAAACGTTACTGTTAATTGAATAATTCTAGCAATTGAATTACTGAATTAAATGAAATACTGAAACAGATGAGAATCCTGTATAGAGATTTAAAAAGTTGATGATGGGGTTCCCACTGTGCAAAGATGGGACAATTTAAACATGAACAATAATAACTTTCAAATTGGAACACACCAAATATTTCTAAGTCCATGAGTTCTTAAAGACTAAACAAACAAACAAATAAACAATACAAAACTCATTGATAACCCCTAGAAGTTGCCGGAACACCAACTCACTACTCCGAACACTGGTAAATAAAGGGAAAGAATCAAGTGTTTATCTTGCCTTTCTTGTACAAACTGCATTTCAGGCTAACCGAGTAAATGATGAGGGATAATTCTTTTTTATAGAAGAACATCACCTAATGCAGAAGGAAAGGCAGAATGTCACCATTTTGCAACCCCTAATGAAATAATGAATCTAGGCAAAATCATTAGGAGAAAGGTTGATAAACACATTTATAATACATGGATCAGGACTACAATACCTGGACCTACCGATCAATTGTTTTTTCAACTTTTTATCATGAAAAATTTTAAATCTATAGTAATATTGCAAAAATTAAGCATTGAATACTCATATACTTTTAACTGTTAACATTCTGCCACATTTGCTTTTTCTCTAATATACACACAGTTATTATTACACAATTATTATTACAAAATCACTTGAGAATAAGTTACAGACATCATAACCCTTCATCCCTAAATACTTCTGCTTGTACTGCCTAAGAACAAGGACATTCTATTATGTAACCACAACACAATTGGTATTGATTATCCTAACATCACACACACACACACAAAAACAAACCCGGATATTATGTTTCCTAATGTGATGCAATAAGAAATACACAGTACCACCTATGAAATATTCTTGCCAAAAAACTGAATCTGAATATATTCAAGCCTCTAGATCAGAGGCCACCTGTTTTTGTAAATAAAATTTGACTGGCACACAGCCATACTCATTCACTGAAGTATTATCTATGGGTGCTTTTGTGCAGAGTTGACTAGGCATAACAGAGACCATATGGCTCACAAAATCAAAAATATTTACCACCTCGCAGTTTGCAGAAAAAGTTTGCTGACGCCTGCCCTAGATATTACTACCAGTTTTAAAGGAACACAGAAGATAGAGGAACATGTTAAACAACATCAAAGGGATGCAATTAGCCAAGCCAGAACATGAGAAGCTCTACAGAACAAATTGGTTTCTGCAACAAATAAATGGTAGGAAAACAAAAGAATTAAGGGGACTTGTTTAGATTAAGAGATTTAAGAGACATTTCAAGCAAATACAGTTTGTTTGTGAACCTTGTATAAAAAAGATGTTAATGAGACAACTGGGAAATTCTCAACACTGACTAGATATGATATTAAGTAATTATTGTTAATTTTTTTGGTGTGAAAATGCTACTAGGGTTATATTATTAAGAAAAAGTCTTTATCTCTTATATTGAAGTATTTAAGGAAGAAATTATATGTTTAGGATCTGCTCTAAGATAATCCAGTGAGAGCAGGGGTGGAGTAGAGTAGAACCAAGGTTGACCATGAGTTGATGATTGTTGAAGCCTGGTGATGGGTACATGGGAGTTCATCATACTATCCTCTATATTCCACTTTTGTGTACGTTTGTAATTTTCACAGTAAGTTAAAAAAAAAAAGTCAAGACTGAAAAAAGAAAAAGTTTCAGACAGTTAAAGTTCCTCTTTAAAAATTCTAAAGTATACAATGAGGTAGCCCTTTCCTTTACACTTGCAGGAAAAGAAAAGTCTTCACGAAAATAAACAAGTTTAAAGAAGAGCAGCACACCTTGTTTCTTATGCGATCTCTCTTAACCACTTCCTCTTTTTTTTCAGTTTTTTCTGAGTTGCCTATTGATTCTGTACTTTCATTCTTCTTTCCTTTATCCCTAAGTGCTTCTTTCTCTTTTTTCATTTCTTCTTCCTTTCTTTTAAAAGCCTTCTCTTTATCATAGCGCTCCTTCTGCCTACGGCGTTCTTCTTCTTGCCGCTTCAGTCTCTCTCTCTCCCGAAGTATGCGTTCTTGATCTCGGTCATAATCTCTTTCTCTCTCCCTGTAGTCTCTGCTACTTTCATCTTCAGGTCTGCATGAAAAACAAACGTGAGAATGAACCCTCAAAGATCCTGTAATCACAAATGCAGGAAGACCGATTCTGACTTGGCCACTGCAATGAGGTTACACTTTTGGAGTGGAGTAAAAACTACTAGTGTTTAAAAAAACAACAAAAAACTAAAACCACTCCCCCAGACTAAGATACTAGAATATTTGAAACCTTTCCTCCTCATGCCCCCTGCCCCTGATAAAATAAAAAACAAACCTGTTGCCATCATGTCGATTCCGATTCATAGTGACCTAGTAAAACAGTTTATCTTAATTCAGGTCCAGGTCCAGGACGTAACAGCAAAACTAGCACCTAGAAACATGTCTAACTCAAACATACCAAACAGCCCTCAACTACTGACCTCTTTGGCTTTTCATCTTTAAGTTCACTATCAGAACGCTTGGTCAAAGTACAACTCTGCCCACTGGCTCTTTCGTCATTCAGATTCTCTTTGTCCAATTTCCTGGGCTTTTCTCTTTTGTCCAATTCTTTTTCGTCTCCTTTTTCTGGCTTCTTAAGCAACTTTAAAGAGAATAAGTTTGTTTTTATTTTGAAGGGTACGACTTTGCTTCTTTCTCAATCAAAGAAAACAATATACTAAATATTTAAAATTTAGACTACCGAAGGCCCCCTATATCTGAAGGTGCTCTTAAACTTTCAGGTGAACAATTAGTGCACAAGAATAGTAATGTACTAAAAGAATGCTATTAATGTGAAAGTGTTATCCACGCAAATGGAGTGGCTTAATCACTTTGTGGCAATAGGATCAAGACTCCTTTGGGTTTAAGCAGGTCGACCTTAAAGTGAACCAATGCACCCTTCCAAGTCTGTCTTCTGTAGCAAATCAGCATGTCAATAAACCTTAATGTGAAAATATACCACAAATTTAAAATGCTAGGAAGGTCAGTCACGTTTGACTGTTTTTATTTAGTACTTGGAGTGACAAATACCTTAGTCACTAAAGGAGAGATCCATTGCAGAAATAATTTTGCCTTGAGCCTGAGAATAATATATTTTCCTTATGATGGAAGAATCATATTACCATTAGAGATGAGTAGCAAGAATTATTTGGCATTTGATTTAAAAATCCAAATGCCTTATACAACAGAATGGTGAAGTTCCATCTTTACTGAGTAGGAACTCTTCGCTCAATATTTTATATATATATATAGTATGTATATAAATATATATACAAGTGGTTTATAAAGTCCAAATTGCTAGCAAGACAGCTTCTTTCTCCATCCACTGCTACAAATCTCTCTACAATACCATCAAGTGTTGGGATATTAGAGAGATTTTAGGCAAAATAGAAGAATTTCAAGTCTCAGAGTGAAGGCAACATACAAGTTGCCAAGCCAAAGGCAAAGCACCATAAAAGACTTAAGCATGAAGTACTGAAGCACACAGACAGCCACCGCAAATGGTGAGCCCCAACTGAACACTAAGTAGCACTAGTGTATCAGAGTGAGGATACCATGTGCAGGTTTCATTGGAAGTGTTCTTATTTCTCTAATGAACATCTTTATCAGAAACTAAGATGTTCATTACTCTAATAAGAACATTAATGAATGTCTCTAGCATGGCTGGCTCTACCTTCTGTCTTGGTAATAATTAGGGATAGCAAGTCAAGTCACTAGTGGCATGGCAGACAAAGATTGCTGGAAGGAATTAAGATGGGAACCACTACCCCCTCAAGCCCCTTATCACCAATAATGTGCCCATAAAGACTCAGGGAACCCTAGCCATATAAACTGCTGAATTTTCAGGAAGTAAAAGAGGGAGACCGTGCCACCGTCTCTGTGAGATTTTCTCTGACTCTTTCCGAAGTACTAGGGAATCAATTCCCCAGGAAGTTCGTCAGAGCAAGGGCTGCCCAAGCCGTGGCCCTAGAAGGAAAGCAGAGAGGTTGGGATCTTTCTACAAGTTTTCCTCTTCCTAAATGCAATGTATAAACTGGAATCTTCTGCTCACAGATTCCCAGCTAGATGAAAGATAACATGGGAATCACGTGAGAGGGGAAGGCACATAATGCAGGATATTTATCTCTAGTACTCCCAGTAGGCAGCCAGTTACGAGAGGCATGTAAGAAGATGAGAAAGAGCTATTTAAGCACAGTCGTCCTCTGGCTGTATATTGTTGAAGCTTCTGGGAACACAGCAGAGCATGAGGAAGTCACCTGGGCCTCCTTTTGTAGCAGGTGTGTAAATAGCTCAGCTTTTAAAAAGACCCAAGTCAGTTTGAAGGGGTTTTCTACAGGTAAAACTACAACCACCACCAAAAGGACTTATTAACTAAGACCTGTGTGTGTGACATGATACTAGGTGCTCAGTATCATGTACTTGGTCCTTACATTTTTCTGATTCACAGCTTGTAACAGAAACCTGTGTACCTGAAGACAGTGGAAAACAAACAGATGAGGCAACTTCATGTATCAAATATGAAGGAAAAGCTGAATAAAACCCATAATTAATGCCAGCCAGCCCTAAGCCCTTATTTACTATGAATTGAGAGAATAGTAATCCAAAAATTGAACACTTTCCATGATAAAAATAATACGGATCTACACTGAAGAACTGATCAACATCATGTAAACTACTTAATTCTTTTAAAAGGTCTTAAATTTTAAAAATACTTAGTAGTGTAGGAAAGTTTTTTATTGGTTCACTTCCCTACCCCCCCCCCAAAAAAAAACAAAAGAAATCTATATTTACACCAACACAAGATGCATGCATATTTAAAGAAGTAGATACATGCAATTTTCAGGAACATGGAGTCTGCTTAATTTATTCTCCTACCTTAATCTTTGGTTCATCCTTTAACTTGTCCCTTTCTGGAACTCTGTCTATCTTCTTTAGCTTTTCTATATCTTTCCTTTTTCGTTTCTCTTCTTCTTTCCATTTTCTCCTCTCTTCTTCTCTTTGTCTTTTTCTTTCTATTTCTCGCCTCCTTCTTTCTTCTCTCTTTTCTTCTCTCATTCTCTAGAAAGAAACAAACACAAGCCTTCAAACAAGACATTCATCACCAAAAACTTAACCAATCCTGAAGGCATGGTGGGCACCCACTAAACTGGATCATCTTTCCTTCCTACTTTCTACCTCTTTAGCCCGACACCACCCCATTCAGAATATGAAAGAGAATGAAGACCAGGGGCTGCTGGTATCAGAGTCTCCCACTGCTGCCTTGCTACATTACCAGCTTTTAGAATATCAAGAGAGTGTCTCTGGGACAAGCTAAGGACTCTCCAGGTTTGCAGAGTGAATCCCTGGTCCAACAACCAGAGCGAAGGAGAGGGCCAGAGCATGAGACCAATGGGTCAAATCTTTAAGGAACGATGGTGGAAAAGCAGCTATTTTTCCTACAGGCCCCCAACACTATGAAAATGTTCATAGAATGTGAATCAATGAAATAAAAAGTATTGAGAGAACTATAAAATCAAAAGGTTTACCTGCTTGTTTTTCAGGAAGCTCAAAAGTGGGGTTGTCTTTTTAGCTACATAAATGTAAACAGATTATTAATAATACTTATCAACCCCTAGAAAGGATTCCATTTTCTGACATTCCCTGCCACCCACCCAAGGTGGGAAAACTACACCCCTTAAACAGAAAGTTCACAACCACATTATCTGAGGTTTTACAGTATTCTATTTCAACTCTGCAGTCTAAAAATACTTTTAAAGAAGAAGTGAATAAATTCAAATTAAGACAATAAAACAATTTTTTAAGAGTAATTTCCAGTGTTGATGAGAATTAAGTGCAAAGGCGTTTTTTTTATTTTACTGATGGGAGTATAAATTCATTCAACTTTCTCTGGGACGAAATTGGGGGAGGAGGCTAAAATATCTAATCCTCTTGACCCTATAAATTCTACTTCTAGGAATTTATTCTAAGGAATAAATTTATCAGAGATGGGCTTGTACTATACAGCCATTAAAATTATTATTTAAGTGCACTTTTCAGTATTCTGAACAATGCTACCTAGCCTTGTATCTAGATTTTTGAACACATACTTCCTTAAGATAAATTCCTAAAAGTGGAAATCCTGGGCCAAAGACTATGCTCATATTTAGAGCTATTGGTATAATAGTGACAAATTACTACTAGAAACAACCAGAGCTTTGGATGAGTTCCTTCCAGTTAGAACCCTTGTGGAGAATTTACATTTCCACCCTAGATATACTGAATCAGAATCTACAGGTTAAACAAGATCCCCAGGTGATTCTATATATAATAATTTTGAGAACCACTGCTCTACTAGTGGTTCTCAGAATTGGTCCCTAACCAGCAGCATTAGCATCACCTGGGAAGCTGTAAGAAATGCAAATTCTCAGCAGGGGTTTGAACCAGAAAGAACCAGTTTGGAAGCCTGCAAACAACATCCAAGTTAGAATTTCTCAAAAGGATTTCAATTTTGCATAATTTTATTTTTTGCTATTTCAGGCCAAACATTTTGTAGGAATATTCTTATTACTAGAAAACATCAATCTATCTTCAAAGGCTTACCAATATATAAAGGTCCCATACTAGTCTTCAAAATTTTTACTTATGTTACATTTGTGTGGCTCTAAATAGGTCACAGAATTTTTTTTCCGCATCTTATCAATTCACTTCATAATCCTGTGCGGTAGGTAATATCTGCATTTTACAGTAGGAGAAACAGTCTCAGAGAAGTCATTTTCCCCTAGGTCACATAGCTAGCAAGTGATGAAAGTAGGAGTCAGAGCTCGGTATTCTGATGAAAAAGCCATTCCCCTAAACTCCTTTTGCCCACTTACCTATTAATTCTCTATTTTTTGCTTCTATTTCCTCTAGCAGTGTCTCTGGAGTAGATGTCATTTTCTCATTATCTGTTGCATAACTTTCCAAAAATTTTCTATACTCTGGATCTAAATGAGCAATTAAGGAAACAGAAAATGTAGCAGGCTTTAAACAAAGTAGGAAATATTATCTAGGATATTTTATTTATCAAAGAAGATAATTTTCTACTTCATGGAAGATTGAAAATAAGCCAAATCATACCCACACAAGATAGATTATTTAGGGCTTCACTGGTCATCACTCTCAGAATTTCTACCACTGGTACCCACTATGGAAGTCTGGTGTAAAAATGAGACACCACATATTATAACAGAACCACCAGGGATGTTACAGTTTGCTTTTATTTTCTGTTATTTTTTTCTTTTTAATCTGAAGCGAATATGACGTATTAAAATTTTAAGGAGCCATGGCGGTGTGGTAGTTAAGCGCTTGGCTGCTAACTGAAAAGTCACCAGTTTGAGCCCACCAGCTGCTCCGTGGAAGAAAGATGTGGCAATCTGCTTCTCTAAAGACTACAGCCTTGGAAACCCAATAGGGCAGTTCTACTCTGTCCTATAGGGTCACTATGAGTCAGAATCGACTCCGCAGAAATGGGATCTGTTAATCACGTTGTTAATCACACAGTTTGCTTTTAAGAGTCACTGCTCCTACTAATTCAGAGTCACACTTATGGGAGAACTGAAAAGTTATAGCTATGGGATTTTCTCAGAGTATCGTGTATAAATGTAAGCTATTCCTGTATGGGTATACCTCACTTTAAGTGAATCCAACTGTAGGATGATAGATCATTTTTATACAGCCTTTTTCACCATGATCTTGTAACTCCCCCCAAAATGATTGGGTGGGACTATGCAAATAAGGTGCTTGTAGCCCACCAAGGGGATTAGAAAGCTTGCTAATAATGCAACCTAACACGAGGATTGATCAGTTTTGCCATCTCTCTAGGCTTAAAATGAGCCATCTCAGAGGCAGAAAGAGGGGCCCTTACTACCATCAAGAAAGAAGAGCTGGCAGTGGAGTGCGTCCTTTGGACCCGGGGTCCTTGTGCTGATAACCTCCTAGACCCAGGAGACAGAGAGAACTGTAACACTGGAGAAGGCATGAGATGGTGACAGGCAGTGGCAAGAATGGCAGAGAAACAGCAGCAGCAGAACCAGGAGACTGGCGCAAGGCATGCTGCCCTATGGAGTGAGAGAGCTGAGTGCCTTCTGCCTTTTGGCAGGAGGCTTTCTGGCGGAGCGGGGTGTCTCCGGACACTTGTCGGCGGAGCTAGGCTTGCCGACCCACAGAGATAGAGAGCTGAGCACCTTTGGGCTGAAGTTTACTGGCAGAGTGGGGTGCCTCTGGGCACTTATCTACATAGCTAAAGGGCTCTGTAACACTTGCCCAAGCAGAGCAGAGGCCAGGCCTGAGCAGGGCCAAGAGCTGAGAGAGGAGCCTTGCACGGCCGAGAGGAGCTGAGAGAGATGTCCTGCACTGAAGAAGGGAGACTTTGCTTACATGCTTCCTGATCTTGATCCTGAGTTGTAGCCTGTTGTTCCTGAACCTGAAACTATAACCTGTTATTTCCCTAATAAACCCCATAATCGTGAGTATTGTCTATGAGTTCTGTGTGGTCACTGAAATGAATTATCGAACACAGCAGAGAAGTAAGAGTGCTGTGGGAGGGACAGCTGGTGTCAGAATTGGTAAAAAGGTTGGAGAGAGGAGGTATGTCTGATCTCTACTTCATAAGAATCAGCCTTGGAGAAGTTCCGGCAAAATGGGCCTCTAGGCAGAAGCACCGAGCTGTCCCTCTACAGCAAAGAACCGAAAAACTAAGCCAAACAGAGAATACAACAATCCTGAAACCCTAAAACATCAAATGAAGAGATAAAGAACTCAGCCAAGCACCAAATGGAGTGAGAAAACTGACAGAGAATGGAGAGCGAGGAGAGACTCATGCAGAGGTCCCCTACCAGCTAACGCAGCGCGGATCCACCATCTTGGACTCCTATCGGAGACCAGAAAACGGGTGTACGAGAAAGCAGCCTAACGGAGCGTCCAGTGGGAGACAAAACAACCAGTAATTTGCGGTGTGTGCTTTCCCAGCCCCAACCCCTCTTTGCCCTGGCTCGGCCTCCTCTGCTTCCCGCGGCCACGGTCTCTTGACTGGGAAGCACCGGCTGCTTGGATTCCACACACCCAGGCGGGCGGCTCTCTGGGTGCCATTTGTTGGCTGCTAGTGTTGCTTTTTTTTTCCTGCTTCTATTGATTTCTCACTTGCCTCTTGCCACCTCCCCCTCCTTTCACTCGAGTGCCTGGCTCCGAGCGCCACCTTTGCTTCTTCCTGAAGGGCTGCAGAGTGCTGGCAATTTGTGATATACACTTTCCCACTCTCCACCCTTCTTCACCCACACTCGGCCTCCTCTGCTTCCCGCGGACACAGTCTCTTTTCCAGAAACACCAGCCCGCACTAGCTGGCTCTCTGAGTGCCATTTGTTGGCTGCTGGTGTTGCCTTTTTTTTTTTCCCTTTGGATTTCTTGCTTGCCTCTCACCACCTCCCCCTCCTTTCGCTTGATTGCCTGGCTCCGTGCACCATCTTTGCTTTTTCCTGAGGGGCTGCGGAGCTCCATTCGAGTGTGGAGATGCTTCCTGGTCTGGGCTACTGCACTGGTGGGATCCCGGGGCTTTTGTTCATTTGTTCGTTTTGAATTGTTTGTTTTCTTTTCCTTTTCTTGAGTTGGGAGCCCTTTCTGGCCAGGCAATGCTGCGTGGCAAGGAACAACCCTTCAGCTTCCACAGACGTGCCGAGGGATCTCTGAGGGCATTTCTTTTTTTGTTTTTTTTTTTTTTCTGATTTCTTCGGGGGGGGCTTTCTTGTTCTTTTTTTTTTTAATTTGTTTTGTTTTCTTTTCCCTCTTTTTCCCTTTTTGTCTGTCTTCATTGCTCAGTTTCTCGTCTCTCTATATCTTCCTTCTCTTTCTGATCCCTGAATACCAGGCGTTGTATACCTCTACGCCTTCTAGCCAGGCTGTACTGCGACACCTGAGAGCAACTTCCCCAGACCTAATAGC